TTTTGGCTGGAACTTCTTTCCAGCTCTGTTCTTGTAGAATTTCTTGAATCTTCTAACTATAAGGCCCATTTCATCATCCTCAAGATCATCTTCGTTGTCATCTTCGCTCTCTTGAGTTTTAAGAGCGATGCTTTTGTGGTTCTTCTCGTTCATCTCCTTTTTGTATTTTTGCTTGCTCTCGTATTCAGCAAGGCTTTCGAACAGCGCTGCAACAGAGCCAATAGATTCTCTTTTGGTTTATTCAATTGCTATTACTTTCGGTTCCCATTCTTTTGTGAGACCGCTTAGCATTTTCCTCACTTGATCTTCCTGGCTGTATTTTTTTCCAAGTGCCGTGAGGTGGTTTATGAGATGTGAGAATTTGACCTCCATGTCTCGAATACTCTCTCCATCCTTCATTCTGAATAACTCAAATTCAGTGGTGGGAGTGTTGATTCTGCTCTGTTTTACACTGGTGGTTCCTTTGTGAGCTATCTCCAGGGGTTCCCACATTTCCTTTGCAGTCTCCAAACTAGAAACTCTGAAGTATTCCTTTTGGCTTAGTGCACAGGTGAGTATGTTGATGGCTTTGTCGTTTAGGATCACTAGCTTCTTGTCTTCTTCGTCGAACTCTTTGGGACTCTTGCGTATTTGTTGTCCTTCTATGGTTTTCATAGGAACATAGTTGCCGTGTTCTATCATGTCCCATAATCCATATTCGGTGGCTTTAATGAAGATTTTCATCCTCATTTTCCAAAATGTATAGTTTTCACCATTAAAGCCTGGCGGTTTGGATGTTGAACACCATTCCGGTAGCATCCTATCTCCGAATCCTGCCATGGGATCTCTCTTCAGACTGTTAAGTCTTTTCTGAAGAGACCTATTCTGATACCAAATGTTAGTGGCAGTCTCACCCAAGAGGGGGTTGAATTAGGTGAGTTAAAAAATTTGCAGAATTAAAAGTAAATACTATTGAAAATAGAGAGTGTAAGTTTAGGAAGATTTCACCGTAGAGAGACAAACACAAGGTTTATACTGGTTCGGTCTTAATCACTTGACCTACGTCCAGTCCTCAGAATACCTTTGAGTATTTCACTATCTTCCAAGATTGATCGAGCTCTTGGTGCCTCAATACAGTAATTGATTCACTCAATCACTCCCCCTTACTTCCCGTAAGGTTACAAGCCCACTCAAGAATCCACACTCTTGAGTATCACTCAGATGTGATTAGTGAAAGATAGATATTGACTCTCTTATAGAGTAGAATAAGTGATGAACACTGATGCTCAGTAATAACGAAGAAACAGAGTATTGAATGTAACAGTAAATAATTACAGACGGTAGCTCGAGTATTCAATTCTGTTCATTAATGCTTCTTTGCACCTTTTATAGTTGAGGTTGTTAAGTAATCATTGCGGAAGAGCTTCTAGCCGTTGTGACTCCGTTTGCGTGTTTTCCTAGTTACAACGGTTCCGCCATTAATGCTTCTGGGCTTCTGACATAGTAGGTTACAGGCTACATAATCAACCTTGAAGAGCCGTTGTGATTTCTCTTCGTAATCTGCAACAATACTTTTAACTTCAATAAGTTAATCTTTGCAATGTAGACCTTAAGGTAGAACTGAACAAATGATAGAATGATTATTCATTGTATTTAGATGGAATCAAAGGAGACTGTTAAATATGCAGAATAACAATCTGGACATTCTTGATCGAAGTGCTTATCGATCACTGGTTGATCAATCCGGTTGTTGATAATCAGAGTGAAAGCTTTTTGAATCAGTTGAATAAGATTATCGATCAAGTGATGGATCATTGATTTATCGATCAAGTGATCGATAAAATGCAGCTGAGACACTTATGCTGATATATGAACCAGAGAAAGATCAGAGTCATTTTGATTATAAATCACTTAGTAAAATGGCCAAAATGATCATGCATGCTAAAAATAGTTTGGAAGAAAAAGGAGAGTTGAATTTGAGAACCATCATAGCTAATTGAGATAGAACTGGAAAAGTAACGTGATCGAACAGTTTATCGAATACTCATTGATCGATCAGATAATCGATAATTCAAGTGTTACTGAAATGAAACTTCAGTTAATGTTGATCGATCACATTATCGATAAATTTATGATCGATAATGTTATCGATAAATACCATGTGGAAATCGCTCAGTGAAGAGTAAGGATAAATTGGGTTTATCGAATAGGTGATTGATCAGTGAGTGTTCGATCAGGTTATCAATAAACTGTGAAACGAAGATTTTGTTCTAAACTATTTATCGATCATGTTATATGAAAAGGTACTGTTCAGAAAGATTAGATTATCGATAATGTTATCGATAACTTGGTTAAGTAAGAGCAGATAAGATACTGATTATCGATCATGTGATTGATAACTTGGCGATCGATAATGTTATCGATCAGCTACTATGATGAGTACCTGCGTTCAGAGAGTCAGTGAGCAATGTTCGATCATATTATCGATAAACAACTGATCGATAATGTGATCGATAAATGGTGACAAAATCAATGTACAGAACGAGTATAGTGTATTACCATTTATCGGACTCTTCATCGATAACTGATTTATCGATCATGTGATCGATAACTGATTTATTGATAAATGCACTCTGGCTTTGGTTCTCTTTATCTGTTACTTGTTCGATTATCTTATGTTATTGATCAAGTGATCGATAATTAACTGTAAACTTGTATAACTTCTACGTTAGCGATAATCGATCATTTTATCGATCAACGGATTATCGAACAACTTTATCGATCAAAATCTTATTTAAGTTACTGGTTTGCACTGACATTTTATCTGATAGCTTATCAATAAATACTTGATTGATCAGATGATCGATCAACATACTAAACTACTTAATTCTAACTTTGTTATCATCAAAACCATAATCCTAACAATCTTTTCGAGTTTTTTTTATTCATTTATTTGAAATGTTTACTCTGTCTTTAACTACTTTTTATACACGCAAATGAAAAAATAGGTGTTAGATGCCCTAAAATATATTATCAGTTTTTTTTCTGTTTGTATATTTCCAGTGAACTACTCAAAATCTATTTCAAAAATAAAATAATTGAGTTTTTTTACCTGAAAAAATAAGGGAGAATTACAATGAGGTCCCAAGCAAGGAAAACAATTGAAAAACAAGTCTCAGAGATTGTCATTATCACTATAGGACTTATCATTATAGGCTATTGAGGTTGTTATTGGGACCTTTTGATAATTATTTCTCTTCTATGGGACTTGATTATAATTCCCCCAAAAAATAATTGAGTTAGTTAATTAATAAAATTAAACAAATAAGTTTGGGCTTCGTGAAATGGATTAGCCCATATAAGGGATACAATAAGGGTCAATTATTATGAAAATCCAAAAATATTGGGTCTGTATTACTATCACATAACAGGGGCTCTATTGCACTATGCAACATATATAATGGGACCACAATATAGACCAATGCGGAAACATATAACAGCTCGCCAACTAACTGAAATATTGTATGCATAATTATTAAAAATATTAATTAAAAAAAAGATGAGGAAAAATGTTCATTTCAATTTGAGCCATTTAGGTTAATTTTAAATAGTTCAGATTAAATTTAAATATTTTTTTATTTGAATAACTTTTTATTTTAACAGATACAAAATTTTAAATAAAGAGAATCTTATATATACCACTTCTCAAAGAAAACTAAATTTATCATTTAAAAAATTATATATTAGAAATTTTAAATTTATACCATTTAAAGCGGATTTGGATTTTAGACAGGCCAGATTTTATCAATTAAAGTTGACTGAAATATTAAGATTAATTATTTAAAATAATAATAATAGTAAAAGTTTTATCCTCCCCTGTCCACCCATTGTTTCTGCGCAATTTCCGGAAAAGCTTCTCTGAACTTTTATAATTTTCTTTCATTTAAACCACTCACTTATTTTTGTCATCTCTTGCAAATTAGTCAGAAATGGCAGCTTTACGTCCTAAATCAGCTTACGCAACTCTAACCTTATCACCAGTTTTTGAATATTCTCACCGTCAATACGCTCTGAGGGCAAAATATCTAAGACAGTGATGCTTGAATATGATCCAATAATAACAGATGCCAAATATTTATATACAACTGTCTTGTTACCATTTGCTATAAATAAAATGTCAATTGTACAAATATTATGGATGGAAAAAAATTAAGTGAAAATATATTTTTGGCCCTTTAATTTTTCGCAAACTTTTATTTTGGTATTTTACTTTTATAAAATGTCTTTTCCTTTTTTTCGATGGGTTATAAGATGTCTTTTCTATCCTCATACCTTATAAACTGTTAATTTTATTAATAAGAAAATAATGATATTAAAATTTTAAATATTGACAAAACATTCTTTTCTACTATATAAGTATAATAGTAACAAGTAGCAGAAAAAATTATCATTTAAGAATAACTGTGTTAATGTTAGATGACTGAAAAAAATAGTTTTTAAAATTAAAAAAAAATCAAACTGAAATTTTATATAAAATTAGAGGATCAAATATATACTTTTGGGGGAAAAAAACAATTATGTTAATACCCCACATTTGAGACTTTATAATTATGAGAAAACTATATTGGAGGTGCGTATAGTTTTTCTTAATTTTTAATTTAGTATATGTGTTTTTTTTTTCTTAATTAAACATTGTAATTATACTCTGTTAGCACAATTAGCTTCTCTGACTTTGCTTTGTTAGTACCGTTAGCCTTTATGCAAAAACTAATTATGCTAACAAATCAAAATGACAGTGTTTAATTAGAAGAGAAAGATGCACAGTTACCAAATAAAAAATTAAAAAAAAGAAGCTATAGGTACCAATAAAATGACTTAGATATAATTATAATAATTTTTGCTTAATTTCTAGCAGCCCTTTGACTTGAGAGTGATAGCACGAAGACCATTATACCATTCTGAAATCTATATAAACCCCACGACCATAACGTTATGCAACATCCCAAAATTTCTTCCATATATCTCTGCTAAATCAAATCACACACACACAAGTACCAAAATGAAGAAGGTAGCGGTGGCCTTGGTGATGGCTTGCATGCTAATCGGAGCAAGCTTTGTGGAGGTTGAAGGGAACTTGACATGTGATCAAGTTACCATATGGCTGACTCCATGCATAAGCTATGCCGTGCTCGGAGGAGATGTGTCGCCGCTGTGCTGTCAAGGTGTTCACTCTCTCAATGCCGCGTATAAGACCGCTGACGACCGGCGAGGAGCATGCCAGTGCATCAAAGACAAGGCTGCTAATATTCCTGGGATTAACTATGATCGTGTCAACCAAGTTGGCCCTAAATGTTCTTCTAATTGTCCATACAAAGTCTACCCTACCACTGACTGCTCCAAGTAAGTGCTTATAGTTTTTATTTATGTGCATACATGTGCCTATCCTGATATTACAACTCGATTTAGGTTGGCTGATTAGACTATTAAACTGATAAATCCATCTCTTAACTGGTCTGGTGACTTTGCTTTGAATTAAGAAAATAACAGTGTGTCATAATAGTGTGTTAGCAACTCTATTTTCTTGCATTATGTGTGATTTATAAATAAATATTCTATTAACTTATGGATTGATGCTTTTTTATTTAAGTATTATTATTTTTAACTAAGTTATATGTGAAAACTTTTGTATATAACTAGGTTATATTATTTAATTCAGATTTCGAAATAGCGTTGCTAAATAATGTAGTAGACGACACAGACAATAGAGGGTACAATAAATATGTTCTGAACTTGTTGAATGAAATGAAAATTCGCAAGTTCTAATGAATTCAATTTCCTATAATAAACCAAATTAATTTTAGATGAAATTTTATTCACTTCTAATCCGCTTGTTAATCATGTGATTTTGATTTATTGCAGGGTGAAGTAAGCAAAAAAGGGTGGAAACTGCCATCTCTCATCAGTATCAGTAGGAAAGCAGAAAAGATGGCTGACTAAATAATAATACTAGAAATACAAAATAAATAAGGTGTATGGATGGTATTTATCGGTCCAATCATCAACTTGAATAATTTGTAAGCTGAATAAAAGTTTGCACTTATGTTTAAGTATTGATCTGTTCTGTTGTTCTCTGTTATAATTTGAGTAGTCCCCTCATATCGTACCAAAGCTTGGTTTAATTAATTTCCATGCGGATTTATATTTGTTCCCTGGTACTCCCTTTATTCCTTTTCAAAATACAAATAACCGAATTAAATAAATAAAAAATTAGTTAAAATCAAGTAAATGTAATAAATACGTAAAAAATGCAGCTTCTTTTAAAAAAAAACATATTTATGGAGTAAATGAATATTCAGTGAAGTAAAAATAAAAAAAAATTCAAACAAGTTAATAGCATTTCTTACGAATAAAAAATAGACTATTCTTAAAAAAAAAAATCTCTTTTATATATATGTATATAGGTATGACTAAAGAAAGTATTAATTTTTCCTCTCAATTGGTGATTAGTAAAGTTGTGGGACAAGACAAAACACAATAGAATTGATTTGGTGTTGTTCTTTATTACTACTCCTTTAGTCTTAGATATAAGACATATTTTATAATGTAATTTATATTACAAAATAAGTCCTATATTTATAATCAGAAAATTATAATTTAATTAATCCCCTCTTCACCTACACCGAAGCGTAGTACTTTATTTTCCATTGGTAGTGAAATGTAGAGAATTAATAACTAACTTACAAATATTAAAATAATTATTTGAATTAGCGATTTATAAAAATATGGGTTATTTTTTTAGAAAGTAATTTACTGATGAAACCACGATTAATAATTGCAATCAATAAAGAGACCTTAAAAAAATTATAAATTTAAGAATTGAGTTAGATTGAGATATTACATATTTATAACCAAAGCAAATTATTTTACCACCTCTTAGGATTAGGAGAAGTATTAATTTTTCCGTCTCCCTTGTTCCTTAGATAGCATATGCATGTAATTGTGCAAGATTGTCAAACTTGTGAGTTTAACGAAATCCGTAATAGGGATGTAAATTCTGATTATATACTTAAATTGTAAACTCATAAGAATTCATTTTTATTAATAAATTGATATTAAAAGTATATAATTAAATAACTAAGGAAAATTAATTTGACAGTCTTTATAGTTTTGTCAGAATTTGAATCAAGTCCTTCTACTGTACTTTTATGTCTTTTTATTGAATCCTTCTAGTTCATTATATTAGATGAGCAAGTCCTTCCATTGAAAATACTCCAAACACCGTTGAAAATTCAACATCCTTATCCCGGCAGATTCGTCTCTTTTGTTCACGATCTCTTCTATTACTCGACTTGACCTAGAATTTGAAGCTGTCGAGAAACTTTATTAGTACAGTCTTCTTCTTCTTCCTTTCTAGTTATAATACTGTTCCGGCGTTGATGAACTCTATTATCACTAATTTCCATTGAAAGCGAGGACGAGCAATTCATGTTCTCCGTCGACTCCACGGAGAACTCAAAGAAGATTTCCAGGCCCATCTCCAAATTTGAGCGATGTTGATGCCGACTAAAAATCCTCAAAATTGTTCCATCGAAAAAAAAAATCCTCAAAATTTATGCTTTCCAATAAATTCCCATCCCAAATTCTCCAAACTTCTCATGTTCACCGGCCATATATTGATGAGAAACCACCCATCTCTCCTTGGCTTTCAATTCCATCTTTGTTTCCCCTCAATGGTGACACTGCAAGCATCATTATCGATCCCCAAATTTGCCACCAACTTTATAATTAAACACGTGTGTGTTAATTAAACCTTCCCAGGTTTCCCACAACTTAATTAAATTGAAATAATTGAAATTAAATTCATCAATGTTGATAATTTACCATATACAACCAAAAAATTTCTATGAAATTCATATATAAAGTCACTAAACATAACTAAGTCCAAAAAATTAGCATCAGTTTAAAAATAAGTTGACACAATTTTGTATGTTAATTTAAAAGCATAAAAATAATAAACTTGGTGAGTGAACTCATAAGTTAAATTGAATTTATAGCTAACATGAGTTTAAAAGTGAGTTGACATGATTTTATAAGATGAAAACATAAAAATGTTAAATTTAGAGAGTCAACTCACGAGTTTGACAGTAATATATGCGTGAGACAAGACTTACTTGACGTTGGGCTGTTGAAATTAGCTTTGCTAACCTTTTACAAAATTGATAGAATGAATACATGTGGATATATAACAAGTAATTAAGTAGGAAGAATACCTATATATATATATATATATATATATCTGCATAAAAAATTTATGTCAAGTTTCTTATATCTATTATGTTAAATTCTCCAATCACACATTGCCTTGTGTCTTTTTTTTTTTTATTTCATATGAATTTATAATTTAATGTTATTAAATGCTAATATTTAAAAAAAATAAAGATACATGATCATATGCAATTGGAGAACTTGACTCGACATAATAGATATAAGAAAGTTGATGAAAATTTTAATTAATTTGACAAGTTATCAAGTAGCCGAAAATGATGTCTTATTTAGATTTATTGTGCCATTAAGACATTTTTTCAGACTAATTACTTATTCTCCATTAAATTAGTCAACTTAAATGACTACTAATCACATTAATTTTACAGAGAATATTTTTCCCATTCCATATTCAAATACAATCTATAAAACAACAAAAAATATTTATTTTTTTAAATAGCATATATCAAAGTGGACAATAATAGAGAATGAGATGGAATAAAATATAAATAGATGGGAAACAAATTTGAAAACGCAAAAAATGTTGGAGTAATCAATCTGGGGACTCGGACATTCTATAATAATACTGGTCAAGTCTTAAATAAATAAGAGCAACACAAAGGAGTTGTTTTGATGTTAAATGTAAGATTTCAATCAATTTTGTCTTTCAAATTTATAATTTTTTTAAAATTTTGCACACAATTGCATGTATTAAAAAGGGGTTTAAATCTTTTCAATGCAAATAATTAAAGTGAGAATATTAAAAAAATAATCACATATTTTTTTGACAATAACTAATTTAACAAATTTAATTATTTTTTATAAATTAATTATCTAATTCCCGACATAAAGTAATAATAAGACCTTTGAGTTTCAATTGTAGTAGTTGCATGAGTAATTTTCGCCAAACATGTTGAGAACCGTCAAAGTATGCAAAACCTTTTCAAGTCAAGTTCGGGGTGGTTCTAAAGCGAATAAGATGCTGACTTGTTGAAAGGGTAGAATTAAATGTGAATTTTATATGGCTAAACAGTAATGATGATGATGATTTGACATAGTAAATATTTTGACTGTATTATACCGACAAAACCACTTCCTAACGATTTATTTTTTTTTTCTTGATTTTTAACTTGATATTTGTGTATTTTTTTTATCATAATTAAATAATTTTGCATTTTTAACATTGTTAGTCTATATAGGAGCTAATAGTACTAACTAAGCAAAGTTTAGCGGACTAAAAATGCTAACATAGTAAAAATAAAGTATTTAATTAAGAGAAAAAAAATCCAGATACCAAATAAAAAATTGAGAAAACTATAGATACATGTAAAATGGTTTTTTTTTTCTTATTATAATTTTGTTTTTTGACCATGGTTTTTCGTATTATAATTGAGGGCCTAGAATAGCGTGCATGCATATTCCTTCATAAAAAGACCAATTAATTCATGTGATAAGACGATCCCAAAAAACTCAACTTGGGCCACTTACATCAAACAGAAAAGCAAGACAACAGGAACCAAACTCCAAGCCCACCCACAACTCAAGAGACACTAGAAACCCAGGGTGATTATAACGAGAAACATAAGCAAACCAGAAAAACTGCAAACCAGAAAGAGCGAACCCCATAAGCATAAGCTAACCTCGTTAATTGGACGAAGAGCAGTATCCAAAGCAACAAGTGTCAGAAACTATGGTCATCCCTCTCAACCACATCAAAGGCACATTGTTGGGTTGATATATGTACCGCTCAATAGAGCTGGTAATACAGATCAGCCAGTCATTCATGGGCTGGCTCGTGATGGGCCTGAAGCCCAGCGGATCAGTCTTTTTAGGACCAAACTATAACGGGTTGGAATTTTTTCAACTTAGCCCGCTAACCTGCCAACCCGTTAGTTTTTATAAATTTTTTTCTTTTAATAAAATCTACTCTAATTCTAAATACCTAAAATAAAACATGCAAATAGAAATTATCATAAATAAAACATGGAATCCAAAATTTTAACTTTCAAATATCTCAAAATATTAAACATACAATTACATGATACATCCTAAATGATTTAAGAAACATCCCAAATTAAAACATAAATCCAAATCAACAACACCACAAAGTCATAAACACAATGTGTCACTCCACAAATCACTATCAAATGCTCAATCATAAACCCTCACTCAATATTGATAGGGTTTCAAAGGGAAAAATTAAAAAAAAAAAAAGTAAAACGAGTTGGCCCACCAACCTTATGAGTTAGCCAGCCACGAGTTAGGTCATGGCGGTTATGGGCTCAAAAGCAGGTTGAGACCGGCTCCACCACTCAAGCATCATTTCAACAGTCCATATGTAAAATTAATTTTCAACAACTAATTTTTAAATAAAAAAATCAGTTTTTACAAAAAAAGTGATTGCTAACCTATTATCTTATTTTAGATTTTGTATATAGTAACATAAGAAAAAATTGGTTAAAAATTCCTATTTGACAAATTGATTAGGGAAAGTGACCTGCAATAAATATAAAGGTACAAGCCCCTCAAGTATTAGCAAGTGTGACGGGAAAAAGACCATATTGCCCCAACAAACTAATTACATACGATAAATCCGACTTGCATATCATGAATCCTCACTTGCATATGACAAATGCTCATTTGCATATGACTTATTATACATGATAGATGCTCACTTGTATGTGATGGATCTTTACATGCATACAGGTTTGTTGTGTAATATGGATGCTAATTGCATATAACGGATACTCACTTGCATATGGATTTATTGTGTGATATAGATGCTTATTTACATATGACGGATGCCCACTTACATATGATTGATCCCTACTTGCATATATTTTATTGCATAATATGGATACTCATTTGAATATGGCGGATGTTTACTTGCATATAATGGATGCTCAGTTGCATATGGTGGATCTCTACTTGCATATGGGTTT